AAAAAACACAGTTAAATCAATGATATTTATATAAAGGTTTTAATCAGCCAAATGTCTTCATTTCTCCCGTAACATTGCTCGTCGATTGATATGGTTGAAACGAGTTCACCTTACTCAGTAAGCGGAGAGCAAACCAACGATGTAGTGACAAAATAGGCTATCCTAATTCTTTGTTCCAAGCCTTGCCAAATATATACAGAAGTGTATTCTACAAGCACCCAGAAAATACTAGGTACACTAGCACACAAACCGAGTTTATTTATGCATCGTGGAAACGACCTTGGGAGAGCCACGAAAATAGGGCACTAAAATAACACATCAAACGATGACAGTCAACCAAACGAGCATGGTAACAAAATCACTGGTAGGGAATCGATACTAAGTATGGCTGTGGGGACATCAGAAGGGACTGACGTCCACAGATACTGTCGTGGACTAATTAGGTTGATTGTTTGCTGTCGTGTATCGTAGGTCGGAAAGAACCGTTCAAATCATCGTAGCTTGAGACTTGCTGCTACGAGATGGTGCAATAGTAACTTGAAAACCAGTGACCGCTAGATACATAAAGTTCGTGCGGTAATCGTGCACGTAAAATAAACGACGAAACTAAGGTGACGGGAAGCACACAGGAGTGTATTGTAGTTTCGCTATCCTTCATTTCGAAACGTTGGAGGACAAATATAATAGTATCGCAACATGGTAAAAATGCTGATTAATGAATAATGGGCTCATCGTTATTGACTCCTTCGGACGATACGTCAGCTCAGCAGTTTTAGTGACCATCAAGTTACAGTTGTCTATGATCACTATAACAGTTATGAACCGGTCACAGAGAAAAACGGTAATTCCATACTAAAAATATATTTGCTGGCGATTTCGTGGTGTCGAAAGAATACCGAAATCAAACCAGAAAGGTGAAACAGAATAACAGAAACGGTGGAGCGAAAATGGCAGCAACACAAACAGAACGTCTGGGCGTACAGAGTGTAATAGACAAAACGTACAGTACGATGGGTTATAATAATGAATGATGTTAATAAACTAATCGCGATCTTACAGTTGTTTTAAATTCATGTCCTTCAAAATGCCAATAAGTATAGATTTCAATTATGTGTTAACCCATACTCTGGCAGTACCCAAATATCTAGTCCTTCATTTCCGCAGACAAGTTACCTCTGACTGCGATATCACTTAACTATAATAGTTTTTTTTCAAAAGCCTAACTAAAGTCAGTAAAGTCTACATGTTTAGGTGGCTTTTGGTCATTAGGACTACACGAACTTTCATAGACTACTGTAAGTTTGTAAGGTGCGAATAACGTGTTCTGACGCAGAATTT